CCTCCTCTGGGGTGGCAGCGATGCTGTTCCAGCTCGCATCGTCATCCACCACCCACCAACTTATGGGAAAACCCCTCTGTACTGTGGGTAGAAAGGATCAGCCGTGGTTCCTGCTGCTCTCTTGTGGAAATGGCCACAAGATTCCCTGGGAAACGTGAATTCCGTGTCCTCACCTTGGCCAGGAGCATCCCCCGTGCGGGGAGAAGCTCGGCGTGCCCCGCGCATCCCCCGGGTTGTGCCGGGCGGGGAAGGGACGGGTTCCTGCCCAGGGGAGGATGCGCCGGTGGATCCGGAGCCTCTCTGCTCCTGTGTCGGTGCCGGAGCAGCGGGCAGGGCCTGGCAGAGCCTTTCCCAGGCAGGGCTTTCATTCCGGGCCCCTCCGGGTGCGGGATCATCACCGGCACCCCGGAGAAGGGAAGAGCTTTGTGGGGGCTGTCGCTTTTTTCAAAGCCGTTTGTGACCCCGGGAGCGGAGTGTGAGTGAGGAAGGAGGGGACAAGGGGGAGGCCAGAGAATTCCCAGACCCCGGCTCTCCCTGGGAACCCCCAGAAAGTTCCCAGGCGTTTCTGGGCAGCCGAGAGGCCGGGCAGCAGCAGCATCCCGGAGGGCTGGGCTCCTCCGAGAGGGGCTGGCTCTGCCTGTCCCTGTCCCTGTCCCTGTCCCACGGGCACACGAGGGACCACGGACCCCGCTGAGCTGCACAGCCCGAGCAGAAGCATCCCAAAGGCAGCGGGACACCCCGGGAGTGGGGTCCCCCCTGCCAGAGCCCCCCAGGGCTCCCAGCCCTGATCAGCTGAGGTTTGATCCCGTTCGTTCGCATCCATCGCTGCCGGGATCCTGCTGGATGGAGCGGGGACAGGGCTGCCAGCCCGGCAGGACCGAGGGACAGGCGACAGGACAGCACGAGGAGCACGGGGCTGCTGCTGGCATCCGCTGCCCCCTCTCGGGAGCCGCTACCGGGGCACGATCGCACCCCGGGAAGGGCCCGTGACAAATTCCCGTGGGGGCCGGGATGCCTCTGCCGTGAGCTCAGCCAGTGACTGACTGGTTTATCTCCCCCGGGAGCTGCCCCGAGGTTTTGGGAAGCGGCAGATCCCCGACAGCTCCTCTGCCTGCTCCAGGCGCCGCTCCCACCCCTTTCCTGAAAAACGCTGGGAAATCAGGAATCCGCGGTGGCACCAGCGCGTCCCCTCGCTGCGAGGACAGCGACAGCGAGCTCTGCCCACACAGCCCCGGCAGGGAAACTGGAGACACTCAGAACACCCGCGTTTTGGAAAAGCAGGCGTGGAAATTCCGGCACAGCACTGGCGAATTTCTCCCAGTGTTTGGTTGGGAGGTTTGGCTGCACAGGTACCGGGGAGACACCGATGAGACTTCATCTGCCCCATTCCAAACCCAGGGAAACACAGCTCAGACCTCACCCTGCCCCATTCCAAACCCAGGGAAACACAGCTCAGACCTCACCCTGCCCCATTCCAAACCCAGGGAAACACAGCTCAGACCTCACCCTGCCCCATTCCCTGCCCAGGGAAACACAGCTCAGACCTCATCCTGCCCCATCCCCAGCCCTCTCACCCTGCCCCATCCCCAGCCCAGGGAGGTACCAGCACTTGTAAGCACAGAGCCCGATGTCCCTAGAAATGCTCCAGGCCAGGCTGGATGGGGCTTGGAGGAACCTGGGACAGTGGAAGGTGGAGCTGGGACGGGATGAGCTCTAGGGTCTATTCCATCCCAAACCCTTCTGGAATTTTCTGAGTCTGGCAGGTTCATCCTAAATCCTCAGGTAAGCACTGCCGGGTTTCTCGTGTCATCTGTGCTCCCCCAGGCCGCCAGCCCCGTGTCCCCGGTGCCACCCGCCGCTCCCGCTGTCGGCTCTGGAGCTTTTTCTGATCCACCAGCTCAGTCCCTGCGGGAGTTCCGTGCTGCAGAACAAGCCGGAGCTCCAGGGCCCGGAGCCCGGGGGTCCCGGCGGGTCCTCCCCGCGATGCAGGGCCGGGGGTGGTGCAGGGGGGCGAGGGGCAGCGCACACCACCG